TGTGTGTGTGTGTGTGTGTGTGTGAATTGTTGTGTGTATGTATGTTGCTCCTATCTGGGCCGGTCTTACCAGGCATGCTTAGAAATGTGTCAGCTTACTGCAAGTCTGGCTCGTAAACATTTGGTATATCCTATTGCCATTTCATCATTCCGAGACCGAGTCTAAGGAACTAGAGCATGAGATGCATAAGAGTGCTGAAGAGTGAGCACAACGAAGAGGATGTCGGCGATGAGAACGCATTTGTAAGCTATGGCAACGGAAGAAGGGCCATTGAGCGTGCGAGAGAGTAAGGCCAATCTTGTCTGCTTGCTTTAGCCAGATCACATATTGCACATCTCTATTCTACAGTTATGATTAATGCATTGATAGATCTCTGTCTTTCTCTCTCTCTCTCTCTGTCCCTCCCGATACCTATGAATAGATCTTTATCTATTTGAATATATACATACACACATGTTCTGTATTATTACTAGATGCCTGTGAATCTGATTTCAGAGACGCCTTGATCGCTTGGAAAGTTATTTTTTCTTGCCATGGTGGTCAGGTTGATCTTTTAGACTCAACCCGCAGGTTGTACAGCCGAAAAGGATGTGAACGACCCTTTGGCGTCGGTTAACTCTCTCATTCATTCTCTCGGTAGTGTTGCCCCCACATAAAAGATATCAGCAGACTGAGAGGATTCATTTGCTTCTGCCTAAGATGATCGCATCGGATAACTATATCTTGTGATAGGAAGACCTTTTCAATACATGCTAAACCGTCAAGGATTAATGTCTGAAACGAGTTATATCTCTGCTGTGGCTAAAGTTTTTCTTATTATTGTTGGTTCAGTTTGTGTCCACGATGAGCAGGTTCATGATGATGAGTGCAATGAAGAGTTATTATGTGACGGAATTCAATGGGCAAGAGTTAAAGTTGAACTCGATTTCTGCTGCATCAATTATAATCCCAACCTTGCTGTGCTTATTTGTTTGGACTATGCAGATTCTTGAGCATATTTTCAGATCCGCATTCGCACATCAATCTTACACCTGCAAGAGCAGAGACTAAGAGAGCCATCTTGATTTACGGACAGGCTTTCAAGTTTTTGAACGTTTCTTCCGCGTCCTTTAATCTTCCCTAATCTATTTGAAAGAAATGAAATGAGATTGGAAATAAAAATTAAACCTAGATTATTCGACCTTTTGTCTTTTTTGTCTCCTGGTGTAGGTCTTGATTCTGTATCCCCTGGTGTCTCCTCAAATCCCTTGACAATTGCCACTCTCGCAATCACTCTGTGGCTTGAGTCCACCCGAACGAAATACGCTCGTCTTGATCAGTTGGAATGATCAGCTCGTTTTGACGGATAGATCACTATTTTTAATCTTTTAGTCAGTATTCTTGCTTGCTGATCCTCTTACGGCATTCTACAATGAAATACGAAGAGGCAAAAGTGATCAGCCTTCAATATTCGCCCATAGTTAATTTTAGTGCGACTCACTAAACATACACATTTATATAGCTCTACAAGAAAGCATTATTGGGCAGACTTTCATTTCGTATTAAAGTGCATAATGAAGAGATTCGGAGGTCGAATTGCGCTGCGCTGCAGTCGTTTGGCTTTAATACGATATTCAGGTTGACGCAATCCAACAGACAGCTGCCCTCGTTTCAGATCAAAACTTTGCTGTTAAAAGGAAGTTGAAGGAGGCTATTGAAAGTGATATATTAGTACACATGTTGAATGTGAGGAACGGTGGTAGAAAGCTGTGTTAGGCTTGATTGACAGATTGACCATCATCCAAAAGAAGGTGATGGTTTTAACTTCACTCACACTCGTCCAACATGTTAGATTAAGCTCATCAACCAAACCAGACGTACAAGATTACGTAGCCCCATTCATACCTTGCCTCGGGTGACTAAACCGTAATAAACCTAGACTCATTTTGTAGCCTTAGTTACACGCATGCAAACACAGCAAAGTTGCTTGCGGATTTGCGTAGTCCTAGTCACTGGTTTCTTCTTGGCCCATTAAGTATATATAACTCGAGCCTGACGTCAGGATTTTTCAATCATTCTGATTTATGACTGATATTGCGTATGGACGTGAGCGTAAAGACACTTTTTTGTTTTATAAGTAGGCTTTCAAGATTACCAGTAGATCATATACATGAGATGTATCAATTTTATTTCGTCTAGATCTGTGTCAAATACACACACTCTCAAGTTGAATGTCATGACCAATATGAAAGACAATTAAGCAAACTATTCTATATCTATCTATGCCTTCTTTTTTTACTTATGAGTCCTTATAAGAGGCATGTTAGGGTCGGATAGTCTTTTTTACCTATTTTCCACT